GCCCACGGGGCTGCAACCCGCGCGCTCCGTGGGCCGCGAAAGGCCGCGCACTGCCGCGGGCCCGGCCGCCTCGGAGCGGGGCCCGGGCCTGGCAACGCGGCGGGGAGGCCTCGGGGCCCCGCCGCCCTCCGCGGCCTCGGCGGCCGGGGAAGGAGCCGGCGGCTCCCGCTGGCCCGCACGGGCCGCCCGGCGCTTCCCGGGGCCGGCCCGCGCAGCCCCCAGAGCCGCTCCGAGCCCGCGCGGCGAAATGAGACGATGTGGAAGGAGAGGAAGGGTTTTTATTGGAGACTTTACAACGCTAGAGAGTACAGCAAAAGTGCTAGTTCACGCTAGGAAAGTTGGTCCCAAAATGGTAACTACGCCACAGCATCATCTATCAGCGTACACAAACAGCTAGGAAATCGCTGGGAACTGGCCCCCGTCTTACAGACGCTTTCTTTGCTTTCACATTTATCTACTTAAAATTGGAGGATCAAAACGTTTTAAGGAAAAGGTCAAGCATTTAAAAGCAGAATCTACCAGAAAATCCATTTTGGGCCAGGTTTGGGGTCAAAAATACGAAGATATTTTAAGTTTCATTATTAATATGCGCATGGAAAAAAATATTCCAATTTTATAGGAAACTACTTCTTTTTTATAACATCAAAATATTTTTTTCACTTGTATAAAATTACTTTTAAGGCCTCACGGTTTACTTTAAAAAATATTATCTAGCGCGGGCGGGCGGGCCGCTGCGCGGGGCCCCGCGGCTCGGCCGCTGCCGCGCTCCGCAGCGCTGCCCGTGGGAAAGGGCTGGGAAGAAGCGCAGCGCTCTGCGACCGAGCAGGGAGCGGGGGAGAAGGAGAGAAGGAGAAAAGGAGGAGGAGGAGAAGGAGGAGGAGAGCGGCCCGGCCGAGCGCGCTCCGCTCGCCCCGCTTTCAGGCCGCGGCCGGCGGAGGAACCGCGAGGCTCCAGCGCCTCCCCGAGCTGCGTGCTCGGCTCTCCCGCCTCCCCCTCGAAGCCGCCACGGACAAACAGACGAACCGACGGGGCCTCCGTGCTGGCTACAGACAGACAGACAGACACACACACACGGAGAGGCGGGCGGGCGGCCCGGCCGGGAGCTCCCCGCGCTCACGCCGCCCGCAGCCCCGCGCCGCGAAGGGGCAGCGGCGGCAAGAGGAGGACGAGGAGGAGGAAGGCCGGGCGGGCGGCTAGATGTCTATGCGGGAGTGCAGCGCGCCGTGCTTGCCGTCGTGCTCCCAGTAGGAACAGTGCATCATGGAGAGCTCGGCGGGCTGGCGGGCGCACGCGAACTGCAGGCCGGCGCCGTTGGCGGCGTTGGCGGCGGGCGGCGCGGGGCTGGCGGGGCTCAGCTGCTGCGCGGGGTGCCCGTGGTGGTGGTGGTGGCCCATGCCGTTGTAGGAGTTCACCATGCCGGGCAGCGCCATGCTCTGCACGCGCGAGTAGGGGCCGTACGAGGCCGGGCCCGAGAGTCCTTTCACATTGACGGGGCTCACGTTGCCGCCTGACATCTGGCAGGAGGCGTAGGGCATGGGCGCGGGCGGCTGCGCCAGCGGCCACGAGTTGTTCATGAACGTGGACTGCAGGTACTTGGGCGGGGAGAGGTAGCCGTAGCTGTCGGGGCCGAAGAGGGTCTTGCCGGGCTGGAAGTGGCTGGGCGGCGGGCGGAAGGGCCGCTTCATGCGCCGCCGCCGCCGGTAGTTGCCCTTCTCGAACATGTCCTCGCAGGCCGGGTCCAGCGTCCAGTAGTTGCCCTTGCGCTCGCCGCCGCCCTCGCGGGGCACCTTGATGAAGCACTCGTTGAGGCTGAGGTTGTGGCGGATGCTGTTCTGCCAGCCCTTCTTGTTCTTCTCGTAGAAGGGGAACTTGCTGATGATGTACTGGTAGATCCCGGAGAGCGTGAGCCGCTTCTCGGCGCTCTCGCGGATGGCCATGGCGATGAGGGCCACGTACGAGTAGGGTGGCTTCTGCGACGGGTCCGGCTTCTCGGGGCCCTTGTCGCCGCTCAGCTCCTCCTTGCCCCGCTCGGGCTCCTTGCTGCCGCCGCTGTCATGGGCCAGCAGCGCCACCGTGTCCTCCTCGGCGTCCCCGTAGCTGCTCATCATGGTGCCCCGCGCCCGGGAACGGGGCCGGGGCAGGAGCCGGGCCGGGAGCCGGGGCCGGGAGCGGACTCGGGGGCGCCGGTGGCGGCGTCCCTGCCCCGCGGGCTGCGCTCGCCTCTGCCGCGGCGCCCGGGCTCTTTTCTCATTTGTACGGGCCGGGCCGAGTTCCGCTTTCGTCAGGAGCCCGCTCCCCTATCGCGGCCGAGCCGCTGGGCACGGCCG